TGGAGTTATGTGCGTGTAAAAATGTATTTTTATCAAGTTTAAAACAGAAAATGTCATAAAAAGAGAAAGAAATCAGAAGAAATGAAAACTGTAAGAGTAAGAGTTTGTCACAGTGTTCAAGAAACCTGTAGTCATTTCTCTGCAGAGTTGTTTCTGACTGAGTTATATCAAAATATAAATCCAATCAATTTGTGGTAGCTACACCAAGAAAGCTCTTAAAACAATCATTAATTGATAATCCAACAAAGTCTACATGACAAGAACACAGCGAGTGCCTGGAGGACAACGCCACCGTTTCTTTCAACTTCAGTCAACCTTTAGCTGAGATTTGGGACACAACTTGTGCGTCACCGTCAATTGAGCTCATTGTTCAGCCATATTTTTGTTGCAGGAATAACTGTTGCAGAATGAAGCCATGAATATGAAATGGTCTGGAGTCTTGATTTCAGATACTGTCTGTGAAAAAAACATCTGTGAGATTATCTGTTACGTTTCCATCAGTCCTGCAGTGAGTCCGACGTGAATGTTTTTATTATTGTCCGCTGTTCTACACTGGCTCCGGGTGGTTTGAAGGTCTAACAGTGATGCAACAAAAAGAACACAGCTTTAAAAATGGTCAAGGACTCACTTTATTTTCTATTGTAAGGAAAATCTCAAGCATGGAGGAGAATTAGGGCCGGGCATAACAAAAACTAAGTTTTTCCTTTGCATTTTGAGAATAAATTGGAAATGTTGAGACATGTCATCAACATTTTAACTTTGCCCTCGAAATGCAAAATTTAAGAAAAAAACATCTCCTCTAATCTAGTTTGACCTTATCCTCAACATTTCCACTTTATTTCCTGAAATGCAAAACAGGAAAAATTAAACTTTTAATGCGAGAAACATTTCAGTGGATGTCTCTTCTCGTTCCCTCTCTGTCGTCCATGGTGTTCAGATGTGTCTTGATAGATTGAGTTAATTACAGGGAGGCTTAAAGAGACGAGAGGGGTTTTGTTGCTCCTGCAGCGGCTGTCAATACGTGTGATAGATCACTCAAAGCCCTTTTAAGACCAACTGCAATTTGTGTCTCATAAAGGTGAAGAACAAATCACAGTAAATTATTTTAGCTGCAGTCGTTACAGAAATATCTCGATCACCTCTAACATGGTCGCAAAGCCAACAACAAAAAACACCTCAACTCAAACCTAAGACAGTGAAGCATAGTCCGACCATGTGTCCAAATGAAGCAGACACTAGGGAGTTGAGATTGATGTCTCACTAATCCAGATAAGTAAAGCTTAGATGAATGAATTTTAAAGCAGTGTCTTCAGTCAATCTCTTGACACGACAGCATCACGACATCTTTGCACAGTCATGCTGCAGATCTCACGTTGATACATGGAGCGAAACCCAACATCTTCTTCTGTTGCGGTCCGCTCACCTCAGGGTTGAAAAGCTTTTCTGCTCTCTCCAGTCACGAGCTGTTGTCCAACTTACGGTGGCCTTTCTGTCAACTCCTACTGGTGCAGCCCTTCTCCTCTGAGCCTCTGACCTCTCTCATCATCGTGTTGCAGCTGCTGCTTTGTTTTGTTTTTCACACTATCCTGAGAAGTCCAAACACTGTTGTGTGAAATAAATGGATCTGCATTAACTGAAACCAGGTTATCTGGCACCAATAGTCACTGAGATCAGATTATTCCCCATTCTGATGTTTGATGAGAATATTAACTGAAGCTCCTCAACAGATAATAATATGAATTTGCAGGTTTACAGGTTCCTAATAAAGTGCTCTGTGATTATATGTTGTCTGTGTGAATGCCATGAACTCTCCAGCCTCTTTTCACTGTGTTCAGTCCGTAACCTATTAAACCAGCTCGTTTTGAAAGAACACAATCCACTGTACTTGTTTATTTACATCACAACCTTTGTACATTTACTGCTCAGGGTGTTGCGTTCAAGGCACAGTTCAATCCCTCCAAAAACTTATTTCTGCTTGTGTCCCATACAAAACTGAATGTGGCATAGAAATAATGATGTTATGTACACTTCAAAGCAGAAGATCATGAAAACTCATTTAAAGAAGTCAACTTTCAAACTGAAGTAAACACTTTACACATTCAAATGGTTTGTGTGCTCCCGAAACACGAATGGACGTATGAACATTTGGAAAATATCCTTCTCATTACAAACTGGTGTTGAAAATGTAGCTGTTAGACATCTTCCTGTGCTTTGAGGCTTATAAATAGAGATACTTAACCACAGGATTACCTTGTCTTCCTGAAAATGTGACACACTGTACAATAAATCTATACATTTACACTGTACATAAACTGAGCGTTATGAACAGGACTGAAACAGAGCTGCAGTTTAAACCAAATTTATATTCACTAGAAGGCTGAATAAATCAAAACTCACCAAAAATGTGCACTTCCATTTCAAAATGAAAACTGGGCATCCAAGCATTCTCATCTTCAGCCCACCACCACAAAAATCAGAAAGGTCTCAAACTATAGTTCTACATTTTTACTCCACGTACTCTCAGCGTAAACAAAAGCTTTGGTAAAGTGGCAAACAGAGGAGAAGACGTTTCATTGCCATTAAAGATATTTGTTGGCGGATGGACTTGGTCGGTTACATATATGGAAAACCAAAGAAACATCTTTGCTGGCAACAGGAGAAAAGAAACGGTGGTTAATGGTCTTCAGGCCACAAACTTGTTCTTGGTCGTGGAGCTGCTCTTTGTAGCCGTGTCGGCGTGTGACTGGTATCCAATGATGACTTTTGATGGAACGCCTAATCTCTCTTTATAGACTCGCCTAAAAAAAAAAGAAAATGAACCACACATTAGGTTCCACAAATATTTCTACAGTTTCATGTTTTCAGTTTTGAACTCAGCAAGACAAATATTTCCTTTTCTACACTTGGAACCGCTGCCAAGGAGGTCCAGGTTTTTCACCGTCTGTCTGTTTCTCAACAAGATCACACAGAAACTACTGAACAGGCTTCCAGGACATTTGGATGGGACATGCCCCCCCCCCCACCAAAAAAAGAAAGCTTTGTAGATCTGGGAACAATAGGGTGAGACATGTGCAACTGTCACCAACATGTAGCTGAGACAATGTGGATTCAGTAGGTGATCATCAATAGATTTAGAACGAACACGACAGATCTGGTGCAGAATTTAAGTTAAGTTCACAGGTCTCCAACCAAACGGCGTCCTCCTCTGCTCACCCTATGTGCGTAATGGCCTCTTTGTTTTCGTAGTCTGTGGTCCATATTGCTATTTTGTCTCCTTTGGCTCGGACGTTGATGACGGCTCCGCACACGTCGTCGCTGAAGTCATCAAAAGCTTCGCCCACGAGACACAGAAGCTGCAGGAACAAAAACAGATGACATTTCAAAATGTCTCGTTGTTGTGGAGACGTTTTTCTCTTTTCAGCGCCAGTTTAAAAGCTCGGATCTTTTCAGAACAGATTGACTTGGCACAGCAGGAAACTCACAGGTGTTCCCAAAAACATTGAACAATAGCTCCATTCATTTCAATCATCCCGGTAAAGGCATCACAGTGTGACAGTGAGCCAACAAGCACAATACCAGGACCCTGGGAGCAGAGCAGCCAGAAGGAACTGAGCCATGTTACTATTTTCACCTGTGCCTTTCCTGTTGGGAGTCTTTGTTTAAAACAGCCCACAGATTACACTATTAATAGTTCTGGTTAATTTCACCAACGCTCATTTAGACTGAACACACCGTCTCCAACCAGAACCGGTCCAGGTCTGCTCTGCGCTGCTGTTTGGACAGAGTGATCAGCCAGCGGCCGCCTCGTCGGTTCCTGTCGTCCTCCCACATGGGCTCGATTCCATCCTGTGTCCAAATACAATTTCAAATTTACAACCCAACAAGTACGATAATGTATCTGTGATGAAAAATATAAATATCAGTTGTCCTATAGACCAGAATAGGAGCAAATAGTACATCACCATCAGTGGCATCACCACAAATAACATGTACCTGAATATAAAGTTCTTATGTTTCACTCAAATATAAGGAGGATATAGTTACTATACATTACTGACAAAATGTGCAACTCAGTAAATGGGGCTCGCAGCACTTTTACTAAATGTGGACTTTGACATCTCAGTATGCTTCTGTCAGCCTTTAACATATTCTCAGTTTTGAGGCAGTCAAGCATTCGTGTGTTTTTACTCCAGGCGGAAGATGAATGTGACAAAAACCAACAGGTAGAAAATCATCATTGATTGGATGCAAACCTAGAGCAGATCAAAACGAGAGCCCATTATAATCAGTACATTAGATTGATTTACATGAAGATCAAAATAAAGTAAACGTCGTTTTAGATTGAAGTGATCAACGATTGAATACTCGATTGTTGGATTTGGGGTGTGGTGAATCAAGTGGTGAGAATGTAATACAAACCACAAAGAAGTCAAATGTTCAACGTGCTGATTATCCAGTTCACCTGTGTTAACATGACTTTCTGTTTCTACAGCGGAAGTTAAGACAAGACACATTTTTGGAGCCGTTACCTTGTATAATGACGACTGTGATAAAACTACAAAATGAAAATGATCTTACCTTGAACAGCGAGTAGTCACAGCCAGACATCAAGTTACTTGAGAGCTGAATGTGATTGTAAAGTCTGAGAAGGAAAAAAAAAAGAGACTTTATTATTATTTCACAACAAAAGAAAAGCTGTTCGCAGCCCGACTTAAAAACATGGAGCACTGTGGAGTTTAGGCTTTTATATGACAAACACCTTGCAGAAGCTTTGAAAACTTTCTCTTCCCAAATGATTGAACTGATCACATCTGAACATAAATACACTGGGTGCAGTCATGAAGCTCTTCTTGCATTCATGTGGTGAGAAATTATATATATATATATATACGTACGCCCAGAAGTCTTCCACCGTGTCAAATTTCGAGATCAGACGGAGGTTGGCTTGCCATGTTTTGCTTTTGTCGTTCTTGAAAAACCAAAGAGCCCACCTGCGAATCAAAGACGAGTTACTTCAGACTACAGCTGCACGACCGGTGCTCATTAACAAACTTGTTGCACTGGAAGACGAGAACACATTTCCTACTAATCTACTCCACTTCACAGAGAGATGAGAGATACTTGCTCAAATCCGAGCCACTCTTCAGTGTCTTGATTGATTACAGTTTAAAACATATGGCCAATAAGCACAAACTTGGAAGCATTCAAATGAAAATCAGCAGTTTTTCCTTTTAAATGATGTGTTGACAGGCTCACAAAGTTTGATGGTATCTGGTGAGAGACTCACTTACCACCATCATTTCACCTTTGCTTAACATGCAGCTGATCTTAACTGTAATGATACACTCGTTCCAAGTTCTCTGCAAATGCAATTTTGATTTCTTTTTACCGGGCTGTGGGGAAACAAAAGAATAGAGTTGGGAATCGAGCTGCTGCCTTACTTGTTTTGTAGAGGGTGCTTCATGTATGCTTCAGGATTCAAAACCTTCTGAATGGTTGTTTGACATTTTTCCTTTTCAGGATTTGAAGGAACTGAACTTGACACCTAGAGAAAAGGGGGAAAAAATCTAAATGTCATGTTTCTCATGCTCCATCTGCTCCCTTGTAATAACTGTTCTTTGGTTCGATTGTCATACATTTAAACTTTTAAAACATTTTTATGATCATAGCTAAGATACTTTGTGAATGTGCAAAAGACGTATTGTAGACTGACGAGTGATATTTCTTTTGTGAGAGAGAAAGAAGTTCTTTAAAGTTGACACACATTCACCACCCACGTTTGCAGATCACAGCCACAGCTGGAGAGCAGCAGAACTGCTCTCCTACCTCTTGAAGATAAACACTCAAGTTTTCACTCGTATTAAAAGGGGATTTACATTTAGATTTTAGAGTGAATGTATTCACAGCTTCTTCTACACATGTACAAATCTTTTTCACGAGTACACATCTACACATTATAAATTGACGTACTGTAAAGATGTGGTATCGCACACTGAGAACTGTTTTGATTTGTCCAACCCTAAACTAAATCCCTAATCAAATACAACTAATTTCATAAAACACGGTGTCGTGCTAAGAAGCGATTGCTGAAAAACTGACTTTTAAGTTGTAATGTCGCCTGAAATAAATATAAACCTGGTAAGAAGGTCTGGATAGTTTACGATCCAGTGACTCATCTGTAAATCATGTGAATTACAGTCTAGTTCCCTAAAAAGGGATATTAGACATGCCAAACACAAATACACATCAGAAACAATGGTACTGACAAATAAATATCAGTTCACTGTCGACCTCAGTGCCTCTTCGATATAACTTTAATATTGTTTTAATATTATTATTTTTGTTGATGTAAAACGTTTTTGTAAACCTGTTTATTTCTACTTTAGATAAGAGATAATCTGAGGACATTCACATGCAGCTTATACTGAGGAGGACAAGTTGTTGAAGTTAGTTTGTGTACTTGATGTTTTCCTACCTAATACAGTTTAGTGATTACTTCTTCACTTGTTATTATTTTGAGGTTAAACTCTCACAAACACAGTTCAGCAGATCTCATGACCCGGAACCGTTACAGCGGCGCGACTCCTCTCATTCATCCGAGCTGCAGAGCTCCTCTCGGGGTACAGAATTCCAGCGTACCCGCTTTGGTGAACACTGCGGGGAGAACCAGGCACGTCCCCCCACCCCCCCACCGCTTTGACGACACTCTACCGGCGGTGTGTTCGAGCTGTGGAGCCCTGATGTCGGGGACAGATCAGGAGAAACGCCGCTAACCTGACCCTGCTACTTGAGTGTGTTCAGTCGGAGGAAGTTTAAAGTGAAACCCGGAAGAAAGTCTGGTTTTCCCGGTCTAACGTTTTCCCAGCGGAGGGTTAAACCCTGGATGAAGTGTTAGAGAGGCCGGTGAATGGAGGAGGAAACCCGGGCTGGGACTCACCACCAGAGCCGTCGCCATCTTCTGGAAATCACGCCGAGATTCGTGTCGTGTGTTAAAATAGCTGATTGGACCATCTGGGTTCTGCCAACGGCGCATGCGCACAAGCGTCCCGGATGAGAGGGACAGGTCGATGATGTGATGGCAGAAATCAATTAAATGTTAAATCAATTAAAAGAATCAAACTTAAATCATTTTAACGTGTGATTACAGTGTGTTTTTAGATTTAGATTTTAGATTTAATATGTTTAGTTATTTGCTTTTCCTGTTTTTATTAACCTCCAAAATAGGTGCCTTTGAGAATTGTTTAGTTAGAAAAATGTGTAATAATAATTAAAATTGTATGTGTTTTATACAGTATGAAATAAAAAAATTTTTTTTATTGTTGTTACCATTGTTATTTACGTAATTCCGTTAAATTAAATTAATTAATTGAATTGGCTATGCGAATGACAATTACTTTCTCTTTTATTATTATTGAATATATACATTTAAATAGTCAAAATACAGAAAGTATAATAAGCAAAATATGATTTAAGTATCTTAAAATTGTATTTTTAAAGGAAAAGAAGAGGATAATGAAAGTGTTTTATTTATGATCTGCTGGAGCTAATTTGAATGATTCATACATTAATAGCCTGATTTCATCAAAGTTCTGTAAAAAGGCAAACCTAAAGAGAGGTATAAAATGTAAGTGTAAGTGTAAAGTAGTGTATATTTTTAAAAAATAGTAAAGTTATTCTGGAGTGCAGAACTTGAGTAAAAGTAGTTTCCACAACTGATTGTTAGTATACTATCCACCATGGGTTCTTAACTCTTCTGAAAAATACTAGATAGTAAAAATAATAAGTAGTGGTATTCAGATTTTAGATGTAAAATTTGTTTATATTTTGATGTTTTTAAGCATAAAATTAGTCATTAATGAGCAAACAAGCAGAATAAATGGATTTTCAAAAGATTTTAATAGCACCATTTTGTGTCCAACAGCTATTCTGCTGTTAATACAATTTTTGCGAATATTTAACATTATTTTTCAAACAAGTGCAGAGAAAAAAAATTAAAGTGCTGCAACTACAGAAGAAGTTTGTTTAAAGGCCGGATGTGAAGGACGCTGATGCTGTTAGGCACTTCAGAAGGTCAGCACTGTGCGGATACTGCAATGACAATAAAAGAAGATATGCAAGGCTGATAAATAAAAAAAGAGTTAGCACAACAGATAAAAAAAAAACTGTATTTACTAACAGAAAGAAACATATATGGGTCCAGCATGTACAGACTGTGTAGATGAACCGTTCTTCTCACCTCTCTCCAGCATGCATGAGGTCGAATCCCTTGTTGATCTCCTCAAAGGGCAGAGTGTGGGTAACAAACTCATCCACCTTGAGTTTTTTGTTCATGTAGTCTTCTACCAGCTTAGGAACACTCTCCACACTCTTCCAGCCTGAGGATGAATATGAAAATATGTTCACCAGCTATAATTTAACATCACTAAACAGTATAAATAAAACTAATGTACCCATTAGAGAGGCCTTGGACGAGGTGCTTATTCCACAGAAAACTAAATAAAGAACTGGTCAGGCATTACTAAAATGACTGGTTCCATTTGCATACATTTTCATTTAAACACAATGTACTATCTTTGTGCCAAATTGTTAAAAGAAAGTTCAAGCACCAGTTTAAACTCGACCTGATGAACGTGGAGTGAGAGCACATTGATTTTACTTCAGTCTGGAACCGCCTGCTGTCTCACATTATATTATGCAAAAGGGTCTGAACTCGCCGACATCGGGGACTGCTGCCAGACCACATTACGCCCTTTATAACAAGAATACAGTCCCTCACCTCCGAAGGCTGTTCCCCTCCACACTCGGCCTGTCACCAGCTGGAACGGCCTGGTCGAGATCTCCTGTCCTGCTCCGGCTACGCCAATGATGACACTTTCACCCCATCCTTTGTGGCACGCCTCCAGAGCAGCTCTCTAAAAATAATGAACAAGTCATTTTCTGGTTTCTAAGCACTGCCAACTTGTAAAAGGTGATTTATATGCTGCTTGTGCCACTTGTCAACCGAAATGAACATCTGCATTGGCTCTTCTATGGACAAATGACGATAGATGAACACTGAACTCACACCAGTGATTTACATGTTCAGTGTGAAAGAGTGGGAGCATGTTTCTAACATGCGATGGACAGAAAACTAAAAAAAATTTTAAAAATATTTCTCTGGATGACGTCGTAGAAGATGACAACTTGGAAAGAAAACAAGATTGGAGAACTTTAGGGTTAAGGGTCGATGCATAAACAGAAACACGTGATGTCAGTGGCAGAAGTTACACGCCTGATCACACCGGATGAAAACAGCTCATGCAATGTGCTGCATGTTTTACACACTATAACAGAAAGTGAACACAGAGTGAGTCTCACCATGATTTGCACATTTCCAATGCACTCAAAGGAGTAGTCCACACCCCCGTCAGTCATCTCCACCAGGACCTCCTGGATGGGCCGGCTGTGATCTTTGGGGTTCACGAACTCAGTGGCTCCGAACTCTTTGGCTTTGTCGAACTTCGCAGGGTTGATGTCCACACCGATGATCCTGGTTGCCCCAGCAACCTTGCAACCCATGATAACAGCCAAGCCGACAGCTCCGAGGCCAAACACAGCGCATGTGGAACCAGACTCAACCTGAGTGAAGATGAAGAAGCAATGTGAGAATCCAAATATTACAAAGAGTAAAATCTGTCGTTGTAACCTAATCGCATTTACTTAAAACAGGATTGGATATTGTTATTCTTATATTTTCTGTATTTTGCTCCTATTGTAATATTTCTTTATATCTATAAATGTGTACTTATAACTCTTTTACAGATACTCCTCATCTTTACTGTCCCCTCTGCTGTTGTAGGACTAATAATAAATTGTCTTATATGTTGTTAGTAAATTTCTAACTATATCAGTGTCTGTTTCCAACTTGGAAACAATCCCTCTGGCAACAACTCAAGTTCACATCAGATCTGCATGATTAATGTGGGTGACCCATTTCAGAGTGAAACCTTGAAACAGTGACAACATTTGAATCTCCTTTCATTGATCCCTTGAGGCTGCACTTTGTGACAAGCATGTTTTGCATAAAGAGCTTTAAACAGTAAAATGTGTAAAAACTTCCCAGTGGTGTTTATCTCCCTTTAGAAAAAACAACTCCTCAACAAACGGTTTGTATTTTGGTTGGGAGGCAGACTCACAGCGCTGCCAACAACCTGTGATACCCACCTTGGCGGTGTTAAGAGCGGCACCGTATCCTGTGGAGATGCCACATCCAAGAAGGCACACTTTATCCAGCGGAGCGCTCTTGTTCACCTTGGCCAGGGAGATGTCGGCCACCACTGTGTACTCAGAGAAGGTGCTGGTACCCATGAAGTGAAACACTTGCTTCCCCTTGCATTTGAAGCGTGAGGTCTTGTCGGGGAGCAAACCCTGGCCCTGGGTAACTCTGCGAAATGGAGGCAAAGGGAAAATATGGTTCAATTGAATGTGCGTATGATGAAATACAATAACAGTGACAGCCAGAAGTTAAAACTGAATGTGATTGAGCTCTGATTTGGTTTAGAGTCTGTGAGATCAACCAACGAGGCAAAAGTCTTCCCTAACACAAGGTTGAATAAATCAAAAACCAAAAATGTTACCTAATTTTCTGGCAAAGGTTGGTCTTGGGATTTTTGCAGAATTTGCATTCCCCACACTGTGGCACATACAGCGGAATGACAGTATCACCTTTGAAAAAGAGAATTCTCATCAATTAAAATCACACATTTGTCCTTGCTGCTGCACAAACAAGTTACATTTCCAGTATTTGGGCTTCGTGGCAGCGTACCTGGCTTGAATTTGGTGACACCATCTCCGACACTCTCAACCGTCCCGGCTCCCTCGTGGCCCAAGATGACAGGAAAAAGTCCTTCGGGGTCACTGCCGCTCAGGGTGTAGGCATCTGTGTGACACACGCCTGTGGCAAAGAGCTGAGAGGAAACATTTAAATCAAAGTTGGTAAGCACGGCTAATGGATTTAAGAGCGTGATATAAAAATGATCTTCAGTCGTTTCTAAATAAAACAATATAATCATCATCATCATCATTGTGTCTGTTAACAAAGCGCAAAACAAAGATTGAGATTCATTCTGGGGGAAAACAATATCAATACTTCACAATATAATGTTCATCAATGGCAATTCAACAGAAGTCCAATACATATTGATATGTTGCTTGTGAGGAGGTAGAGTACATAACTGAACCACAACAGATTTAGCAAATGTTTTGCTGTTACTGAGGCGTTTATCATTCTCTGCTCATGAAGACGATTTTAAAACCACAACGTTCAAACCTTCCAAAATCAGTATTCAAACCTCAAACTGATAAATAATAACGTGATATTACTCATGATATTAATCGATGTAGAATTATATTAATTTGTTTTTATCTTGATATAATCATCCAGTCTAGAGTGACATGCAGACACATGCTCTGTGTTGTTGTTGTTGTGTGTGTGTGTGTGTGTGTGTGTGTGTGTGTGTGTGTGTGTGTGTGAATATAAAAACTCTAAAGCTCTTTGAGTGGTTATCAAGCCAAGAGCCTGATATATAAATACAGAGTATTTGTACAGTCATGTTTTCAGCTTAAAAGAAGTCGCAGGCAGTGGTTTGGTTTACCTTGATACGGACTTCATGGGCATTGGGTGGTGCCACCTCCACCTCTTCAATGGAGAGAGGTTTGCCAGGTTCCCAGGCAACAGCTGCCTTGCACTTGATCACCTGAAGCAAAAGCACAACACGTTGCTATTTCTCTCACACAATGATTAAAGACTGCAGCTCTGTGTTGGCTGCAGCTCTGCAGGGTCTGGAACAGCCCGGGATGGCTGCTCACTGACCTACTTTTAACAGGTTTATGCAGGAGCTGGAGTTCAATGCTTCCTGCAAGTGGTCGAGAATCTGCTGCACGCAAACTACTTTCTTTTGCCTTAACCGCTTCGTGACATTCAGGTCCTGAATATTATCTGTGCAACAACTTGCAGACACCAGTTGTGACCAGCTGAACCCTGATCCCTGTTGATCCCCTGTACTTATTCATTCAGCCTCACGCTGCAACTTAGTGAAAAGCATCCTGGTTGTTTTCTACGCTACGTGTGAATTCAGTGATATTTCATCGTTACATAAAAATACAAATGATACATTTCAAGTATTTCTAGTGTATTTTGGAGGAAACTCACTTTTCCCGCTGTCTCCATGTTTCTTCCTTCAGCGAGAGAGGGCGGAGCAAGCGCGTGGCCGTAAAGGAGTCACCGTGTGGACCAATCAGAGAGCAGAACGCGCAGGGCACGTGTGACGCAGGCACGGCGGAAACAGGAAGTTGATATATTTGCAGCTTTTTTTTTTTTTAAATCAGAAATCTTAAATATATCTTTAACCAAAAAAGGTGTTAAAACTATAATTAGCAAAAACATTTACAATGTAGAAACAATGTATTTAAATTATTTGACATAGACACATTTCTCACTTTATTTACTGTTATATCATTTATTTTTATTTTAAGATTAATTTGAATAATTTTGTATTTACTGATTTTTTAATAAGGATTCATTTGTTGATATTTTCTTGATTATTCAATTAATTCATGAAAATATTAAGAGACATTCATAAAGGTTTTAAGCTTCCATGTTACACCTTTGCATCAACTGACTGGACTTAACTCTGAACTAGATCAGGGCTCTTAAAAAGTACAACTATAATCTCTTATAGACCAGAGAAGATAAAACAGACACAGTTACAAAGCACCTTTTAATCAAGGACTTTAACAAAAATGTTACAACATTTGGTTTAAGATATTACAAATCATAAGCATTAAAATGTTTTAACCACTCAAAGTTCACTTTCCATCACAGTTTCCCACATTCGACAAAAGTAATTCAGGGAAATTTGTGAATGTGTCTCCTGAAATCATGAACAACACAATCAGCACCGGGATAATGATGTGCCTGTTGGCAGAGGGAGCGTAGAACCCTTCAGAACAGGCAGAAAAGGTCCCAGCTATGTTACACCTTTTAAATAACGATCATGATGATTCATCATATCTTCAAAACTGGTACAAAAATAACAAAATGTGAAAAGCCCCAAGTTCTACAAATAGACTCAGTATATCGACATTGCCTCCAACAGGACAGACACTGGCATTGAATGCTGTCTTTTTTCTGAAGCAGGTGTAGACAGGGATGAAAAGACCAGATCACCTCCCACCTACAGGTTAACAAAAAAGAAAGCGTTAACAAAATACATGACACAATCACACCAGGAAAGACAACTTGGATGATGGAGCATGATTAAAAAGGGGCCAACCTCTGAATCCACGTCCACCACTGCCTCCTCTTCCTCTGAAACCTCCTCCACCACGTCCACCACCTCCAAATCCTCCACCACGTCCGAATCCTCCACCACGGCCACCGCCTCCAAATCCTCCACCACGGCCACCTCGAAATCCACCTGAAAGAAAAACAAAAGCCGAGGAGTTATTCAAAACATTCCTCTAATCCACGTTCTAAATAGTTTTCATGTTCAATCTAAATCCACTGCAACTAAGACCAAGTGCCACAGTGGGGAAAACTAGCCTTATTTGAAATCTTTATTAATTCAGTGTCATTTTCACAAGAACATCCTAATAAATGCACATTAATCTTGCTGCCTCTGCCCAGTGGTCTGCATGTTCATCAACAATAGAAGACAGGATTAATAAGACAATAAGTCTGGATGCTTCACCTCCACGGCCACCACCTCTACCTCCTCGGCCTCCTCTCGGCGGCCCCTTCTCTCCTGGCGGTCTTGGAAGAAATCTCTGCAGTGGGAGAAGCTTCATTGGATCTATATAAAACTGAGAGAGAACTTGCAGATTAGAGATTGTTTATGGCAGAAAGTGTGATGCTGTTAAGTATGCAAATGAACTACTTTAAAATGTCATTGAGGTTGTATACCTTCTGAAGTTTCTTAAACGAAGACGCCTTCATATTGTCTGAGAGTTTGACTGAAAAATACTGTAGGGTAAGTTTAAGGAATGAAAGACGAGAATGACATTTAAATCCACACAAATTCACCTAATCTTTTTAGTCCAGATATATTTTTTTAATGGAAATAGAAAGGATACAAAGTCTCGGAGCTGGCCGAATATCTCATCCACCTTCCCGATCTGCTCCTTGTTCTCCAGGTACACAGGGGCATTGAAGTAGGGAACCTTGCTTTCCTCTGTGGTGCACTTACACACAATATCGTCTTCACATGGATGCATGAACTCTCCCACGGCTGCAGAATAGAAAAACATCGAAACACATTTAGTTGTGTAAACATGAGTGTTTGTCATGGAGGATAAGGGTTACAACTTCTAAGTGTTAAGAAAATGTGAGTATTAACTGGCCTGCAAATACTGCACAGTATCTGTCTGGTATAGGATTATGTACCACAGAGAAGAGACATTAACTCATCTTCCATATCATGACAGAGTGTCTGATATGTTGCATGGAAATCATGTTTAAAGGTGGACACAGGTAACGTTCCAGAGCTGGTAGTCATACCACAGTGCAAAGCTGTGAGGAATTTGTAAATCGATGGTTTTCCACTGATCCCATTTGTCAGTAGTTCGTCTATTGATACGTTTTGATCTGTCTCTTACCTTTCTTCATACATCGTCAGTTACCATGGTGAGGACAGAGCTCAGAGTAAAACCAGAAGTTACCTCAATTATTGATAATCAGATGTGTGCACATAAGACTACTGACTACTACTACTTATTGTTATGCATTGTACCTATCTGAATATGACTCTGTGCATATTGCTTGTATGTGCTGAGTTTAACAAGTCATTTTATTGTAATGTTAGGTTACAACATAAAAACTGGGCCAGGGATAACAGATAAAGAACAGATAACGCTGGTTCATATATAATAAACATTGTCAGTGTCAAATAAACAATGAAATGATCACCACACATCCTGGTTCACAGCACAGTCACCAGATGAGCACATGTACATGCAACACTTAAGTGCCATCAATTGAAATATACTTGTACACTTTGAAAGATAATTTATATATTGTGATAGTTCGGTGTGTATTATTATACAGCAGATATATTTCAGTCTCATGTGTAAAACGTGCCCCCCCCCCCCCCCCAGCACCAGGTTTTCATCACAGCTTCTTTCTGGTGTAACGATCTTACCGACTACATGTTCTGGAGGACCGTAGTCCTGCTGCCTGTTGAAGCCTCCTCTGCCTCCACCGCGTCCGTAACCTCCGCCACCTCTGCCTCCACCGAACCCTCCGCCACCTCTGCCTCCACCGAACCCTCCTCTGCCTCCTCCACCTCGGTTAAAACCTCCTCCTCCTCTGCCGCCTCGTCCTCCGCCTCCTCTGAAAGACATGTCCTCTGTGACGGAGCAAGAGAAAGACACAGAAACACACGAGTTAGCGGTTAGCCACGGCAGCTAACAGGCAGCGGACAGCTTCTCTTGCTAGCATGCTAACTCAACTCGGTCATTCAAACTACAAGTTCATATCCGCGTTTTCTCCCACAAACCAATGCGGTATGCGCTCAGAACTTCGTATAATACTAAAAAACTATTTAAAAAACTAATATCAGGCAAAACAAATATTAAAAAACACAAAGAAATAGAAAAACAAACTCACAACTTTCCTCGTTGAGCTGCAGCTATTTACTCCACGCGATGACAACACGTGTGACCACAGCCTGCCGTAAAGCACATGTCAAGTATCGTGAAGTGTCGTAAACTCCTGACGCTGCATCGTCGTTGTTCAAGAAGCGGAAGTTTAGTTCATGCTGAAAACCAAAACGACTGGGAATTTATAATGTGACGCAATGTTGTTTGTGTGCAGTCCTGCAATCTGTAAATAATTTATTTAGTAGATTTGCAGGAAATTCAACAGACAATGACCACGACAGGTCAGGTAAGAAAAAACATCACAATATTCACTTGTCTTATATATAATGTGAACTTCATTATGTCATGTTGTTGCTTTGAGTCTTACCCACAGACTTTATATAAACATACAGTGTATATCTTTATATCTTTATATGATTTGTACAATCACATCTGACTGAGTGTGAAGTTTTATTCAGCCTCATTTTGTTTGATCACACATGTTCACAGGGATTCAGGAGATCCTCATACAAACAGAGACCATGTCCAGTCAATGCACGTTTTAATGCATTAGTAACTTTTTACTGCAGGTGATCAAGTGCAAAGCGGCGGTTGCTTGGGAACCAGGGAAACCTCTGGTGACTGAAGATGTGGAAGTGGCTGCACCTCAGGCCCATGAAGTCCGCATCAAGGTCAGCTGCTCCTGGGGGGGGGGGGGGGGAGAGATACGACCAAACATTATAGTTGATATGTGCATGTTACACTAAGTATATACACTTCATAGAACTGTATGATGAACAACATGAACCCTACCTGCTTGTACAGATTGTTGCCACAGGTGTGTGCCACACAGACTGGGAGTACATGTACGGGACTGGAAAGGGGATGAAGTTTAGACCTTTTCCGTTAGTTTTTGGCCACGAAGCAGCCGGAGTAGTGGAGAGCGTTGGTCCAGAAGTCACCAAATTCTTACCGGGTAAATTCTACAGTTCATTATGAACATCCATACATTTAGTTGGAATAATTTCTCCTTTTCAGACACAGAACTCTGACTGAAGTAGTTTGCTTTTTGCTGTTTTCAGGGGATAAAGTTATTCCTCTTTTTCTGCCTCAGTGTGGGGAATGTGAACGATGTTGGAGCCCTAAAACAAATCATTGCAGGAAGAACTGGTAATCCCATTGCCATGTTTGGGCACAACACACAGACCTCTTTGTTTCATTGTGCTTTTCTGCTCATTTGTTCCCTTTTTGTGGCTTTTAGGGCAAATACACAACTGGGTGTTTTGGCTGATGGCACGAGCAGAATATCTTGCAAGGGACAGCAGGTGTACCAGTTCCTTGGAATCGGTTCTTTCTCCCAGTACACCGTGGTTCCCGACATCTCACTTGCAAAGATAAGAGGCGATGCACCGCTGGAAAAAGTTTGCCTGCTTGGCTGTGGAGTCTCCACTGGTTATGGTGCAGCTGTTAAAACAGGCGAGGTAAGAAGATAGAGATCTGAGTTTGACTTCTCACCAACTCTGATGTGGACCAGTGATTGTTCTGTTTGATTGTTTCGATCAGAAGGAAAATATCTTATCTTCCCAATGATGCAGGATAGTAGGTAGTAGTTATTCTTTTAGATATAAGTTCATGAACATAAGCTAAGATAATTCTCTATTTGTCCCACAATGGGGAAATTTGCTTCGTTACAGCAGCAAAGATGAAAATCGACATCAGTAAAGGAAGGTTAATATATAGAATGGAATATATACAGTGTAAAGAGAATATCTACAGTGTGAAAATATATAGTGAAGCAGACACATTAGCCATTGAATTGCACAGACAGAAATTAATAATGCACAGTTAGAGTTAAACCTGAGTTGAAGTGCAGTACAGAATTGGTGCATGTAACATCAAACAGGTGCATTCAATGTGGATAAAAGGAATTTAGACGTTCAATATTATATATTCCACACCTTGTTTTTTATTATAGTTCTTGTATATTGAAATAAGTAAAAATAATGTTTTGTGGAGATGCACATGTTTAGAGAGTCACTCTTAAAACCAAAATGTAGAAACCTCAAGTGATCAAATGTGTTTTGAATATTGAAAAGACTGTGAGTATGAACATTTAACTGAAAACACAGTGGTTCAATTAATAAAACTAAAGCAGTGAGAGAGCGTTCACAGGAGCCTGATAAGAACCTTTTTCTTTCAAAACACTCCAGCTAATGGAAAATGTAAGTGTGGCGAGAGAAAAGGGAAATTCAATTTGAATGTTTGATATGATAATGATAAAAGTGTGTTTCATTTAAACACTAATTTCAAAAGGCAAACTCTTTGACAAAATATAAATAAAAGCCACAAGGTTTAAAGCTGTGCTTGATTAAAAATACATAAGAATAAAATGGGTCGAATGGAGAATAATAAAATCAAAGTCATATTGTAGCATATGCACGAGTCTGTCACAACATAAAAATGAGTAACTGCTTTATAGATGTCGCTGCTGAGTTGACTCCCACACTACGTCCATCCAGGTTCAAAAAGACTCCTCGTGTGCCGTGTTTGGGCTCGGAGCTGTTGGACTGGGCGCCGTCATGGGTTGCCAGGTTGCCGGGGCGAAGAGGATCATCGGGGTAGACATCAACCCTGACAAGTTCGCGAAAGCCGTAGAGCTCGGAGCCACTGAATGTGTGGACCCCAGAGATCATAGCAAGCCCATCCAGGATGTCCTGGCAGAGATGACAGACGGAGGGGTTGACTACGCTCTGGAGTGTGTGGGGAGTCCAGCTGTCATGGTGGGTGCGGGACAACTACACACTCTAGTTTCACCAGTCTGTGAATATGTAAATGTATTTTACAGGTAGTATTATTTTTTCCTAGACTGCTGCGCTTGAGTCTACAAGAGATGCCTGGGGCACCTGTGTGATCGCAGGGTGGACGGAGAGAGAAGCAATGAACGTCGTGGTGGAAAAGCTCCTGATGGGACGCACCTTGAAGGGGACGTACTTTGGAGGTGAATTTAAAGGAAGTTATCTTAATGCATCAGCAGCATTGTGTGGAGAAATAGACCCTCTGTAGTCTGAGGCCTTGTCCAACACTTGAGATATTTGGACATGCCTTGACATATATATTGTCAGTAAGAATGTCATCAACTGATTTATGTACAGCTCGTTTCTTTTGTGGTTCTTGAGGACTCATGAGGGTTCTTCTCTTGTAAAGGTTGGAAGAGCGTGGAGGACGTGCCCAAACTGGTGGACGAATACATGAACAAAAAGCTGAAGCTGGATGAATTTATTACCCACAACCTCCCTCTGGATCAAATCAATGTGGCCTTTGACCTTCTGAAAAGTGGGAAAAGGTACGACATGATTCATGGAAAACATAAAAAAATATATGCATGTGTGGTTGTATTATTTTTCATATTATTAATTAATCTACACATGAATCAATTGGTAAATAATTGTTTATCTATAAATAACACATGTTTGCAGGAAACAAATTAAAAAACCCTAAGAAACTCAGGAAACCAGTAAATAACATTGGAGAAGTTTGAACCATCAAACAAGTTTATGATGAATTTTCTGTGTAATTGAATAACTGTCTAATTCTTGTTATTCCCCTGTAGTTATTATGTATATCAGGTCTGGTGGGAAATCTGAGAATAAGAAGATTTGTCTTCTTTGTCCTCAGCATTCGTACTGTCATCAGTCTGTGAGACTCGAGGAGACGAGCCTACAGAACACTTAACAAGAGGGGAGATTGATGCTCACGGTTGTTACTATGGTAACTATTGTAATATTTTGCATAGAACTCTGCCATATTTAATTATCTTTTTCTTCAAGGGTAATGAAAATATTTCTCCATGCTTGACTTTATGGCAAGTGAGCACTTTGGCCACTAGATGGCATTCTTATGTCACGTAAAAGCCTTTATAGTAATTTCAATTTAATAAAAATATCACTGTTTATCCTGAAAAATGTCTATTTTTTTTATTCACATTCAATTCTATAGGTTTTTGTTTACTTATTTATCACACATTTGATGAACACAAGGAAGATTGAGTGCATTTCTGTGATGTGATAAGAGAATTAAATTCACACAAATACAGCAGTATATATATATATATATATGATAGTCCAATAATATATCTACATGTGTAGTATATAGCAGGAGTATATATATAAATATGAAATAACATCAAGACAAATCTCTACTCCTGTCACACGTGTGATAGTTGGAATTAAATACCCTCGTATAGAAGATGGAGTGAAAGACACAGGAACCAAATGGCCGAATCTGTCATCAGCCATAGTGAAGTATCTGCTTCAAGTGGTCGGCCGTACCAGATTTCGTCCTTGGTAACGTTATATATTGATTTAATGGGGAGTCGTGGAGAAGGGCTAAAATAACAGTGGTGTGCTGTCAGGGCACAAGACAAAAGGTTGTTTTGTGAAGGTTGTTTTCAGTTCCTCTCGGTGAAGACCTGAAATAGCTGCCAGAGGAATTTGTTTTATTGAAGTTCCATTCAAATGCCCTTGGCAGCTTCCCCTGCTTTTCCATCTTTATTTAAAATGGAAAATAAATTGGTGCTCCTCCTCTTATGTTGGTCTCCTCTGCCTGTGTGCTATCAATCACAGATTATACATCTTAGACCCTGGACCCCCCCACCTTCTTCTTCTTCTTCTTCTTCTTCTTGCTCCAAAAAATCTCTAACTAAAGAAAGTTTTTGAGGAATAAAAGCAGAATAATGTGAGAGAGTGAAGCGGTGGAGAGAGATAACAGAGGGAGATCAAAAGAAATGGGAAGACGGGTTTTGACAGGTGGTTGTGTGGCTGGCCACCGCATCTATAACTGTTGGACATGCTCACAGATTTATAAGGCTTTCTTGGGGACATGTGTTTGAATGTCTGCCTCATCTATAAGAAAGCCATCCAAAGTGACGACCATAAGTCTCCCAACGTTTTTTTTCTCTTTGCGGTTGAACTCTACAACCTCTGGAATTGTCACAGCATTGTGCAACTGATACAGGGAGGACATGCTACATGAATTACAACCGCAGCATTGTGCACATTTCACAAACTGTCCGTGTTGTCATGCTTCACATTTGTCTGCAGCTTTTCTGCAGATATCTTCAGGATAGGAAGACGAAGATAGAGACAAATCTTATTTGCACTATTTTTTTTAACCATCTTCTTGCTGTCATCACTTCACTACGACAACTCTTTCAGACTTCATGAAGATAATTGACAAACAACAGAAATACCAGATGAGGTAAATGCCATCACAAAAGTAAGGGCATGTCTGGGAGAAAAAAAAGTCAAAAACTACAGCCTTGCCTTTCACAATATTTAAATTGGGATCAAGAGATTTTGCCTTATTTATTAAGCTTTATTCCCGTGTGACAGACAGATGACTGCATGCTGGAGATGATGAGAGTGTAGAAATAGTGGGCGGGAAACACCCTATTCAAACAAAGACTGTTTTTATAACGAGAAGTTATAAAATACAGTTTTCTACTTCTTCACTTTGTGAATGGGAATTGTTGCCGCTCTGATTCAACGGGTGCATGCAGTGTATTTATCAGAAGCTAAATCTTACTGTCCCTATTTGAATGGTTTTATATGAGTTATCAACAAAGAATGGGTCTGTATATGTTCTCCAGTGCTCGGTGTCTATTTAATCTATTTCTACTTGACTTTAATGACTTTAATAGATCGATAGACAATTTTCATTCTTTTCCTCAGTGAAAAAAACTGGGATGTGTTGAGAATTGAAGCAAAGCATCAAGCGAAACTAATTTATTTACTGAAGTTTAATGTGTAAGATGGTTTTCTAATATTCACAATGTTTCTTCAAACCTCACACACCTTTTAATATTATTAGTTTTCTGTAAGATACTCCAGGCGGATGTGGCTCAGGGTGTAAAGAGGGTTGTCTGTGAACCAGATGGTTGGTAGTTCAATCCCCGATATCCTTCTGTCTGCATTCTGAAGTGTCCTTGGGCAGGATACTGACCCAAACGACCTCTGACTGCTGTGCATGAGCGGTGACAGAATAAGTGCTGTATGTGAATGTGTGTGTGAATGGTAGATGTGATTTGAACTGTAAAGTGCTTTGAGTGGTCGATAAGACTGAATAAATGCAGTATAAATACAGCCAGAAACTTATATTCTACATTATCCGGTTTTTACCCCCAAAGAAATTTCTTGCAAGTGCAGGTGTGATTGGTTATAAATAAAATAGTGAAAAAATCATTATGGCTGGATTCCATTTCTGTTTCAGGGCCCTTGTATTGTGCAAACGTCCACACTGTCTCTCGCTCATGATTTAATGGACACTTGAATGTGAATGAAAACAAAGGCCCGTCACAAAACCAGGTCTGCGGCTATAATAACCGTGAGGCCATTGCAGGATTTATATTCTGTTTGTGTGTAAGATAATGTTACCGAGCTGTCACATTAGCTGGTTAAAGTCCTGAAGAACATCATAAATATAAAACATGAATGAGTCCGAGGAAACTACTGAGAGATGAACCAGAGGAAAAGCACGTCTGAGAGAGACGTAGTCAGATAGGCAGAGAGAGATAGGGATGGATATAGTGTATAGCCCCGATGGCTATGGAAGAATGGCCCACTTAAGTCACTAAAGACTGTCAATGTGAGGCCCCTGTTTTATCCGCAAATCCTGGCCATTATACGGCTAATGTCGGGCAATGCCTGTGACATCCCTGGTCTTTCTTTGACACGGTTAGCTTTAGCTCCAGTGTCAGTGGAATATACTCGGCTTCAAGTGGAGGACGGTGCAGTCACAGAGCCCGGTGTCTTGGAGGGATCGTTTTTTCCGCTGCATTAGTGCGCTGAGCATCTGTTGTTACCAACTGAAAATTTATTTCTAACATGTGGGCTTTTTATGGAATTCTGAATAAATCTGCCACTTTCTTGGCTTGATTAGAATCAATAATACATTATGAATGGCCTTAAAGTGGGTTTAATGGACTAAAGTGGCAATAAAATTGCACTTTAAAATCCTCTGGCAGTTGTAGCGTGCAGTCAATGTGAACTTTTATCTTACTGACCGGAGGTGCTTTCAAAATAAAGTCCATGAAACTTTTTTGCTTTGGTTTTTGTTTGGCTACAATTGATGCGTTAAACTTAGAAATATGAAGTAGATTATTTAAAAAAACAAGTTAATTAAACATATACACTATAAAAACCCAATGTCCCACACTTCAGAGGCTTTAATGCAATACCAAACTCCCCACCATGGTAACGACTATATTGTGTTTCTCTCATTGACTGTATGTTTTGTGCATTTCGTAATGTGTCACACACATTGTGTCATTGTTTTATAGTTTGGTTGCAACAGAAATAGACAAGAAAGAACAGGATTACAGTGACCATACGTGGCTATTACCAAAGAGACACACAAGCACACACATAAAGAGCGATGTGCGTGACAGCTCTAAGCTTTTGTTGTGTTTTGTCTGACAGCAGCAGTAAAGTAGTAATTGAGAGATTAGCGCTAAGGTGCTATCATGGCACTCCTTTGTTTGGTCTCTCCCTCATTGGTCCCACAGAACGCAGTGAGAATGTGTGGGAAGGAGTCAGGAGCTGCTGCTGTCGTTTAATTCACTCGTTTTAATCTGTCATGAATCCACAATAATGGCAAAGATAAAGCACAATTTAATATTTTGATTGCAAATAAATATCACACCTTGATTTTCAATTAGCAGAATCACAGAGTTTAGATCGTCTGTGTGTATGGTAAAACTTAAATGTTGATAGTCGTAGCTTGAAAAAAAGGACAACATCTATAAATCAGTTTTGACTCATCCAACACAGACCGAGACCCCGTCTGCCACCACACTTTTTTTCCTCAACGTGCCAACATTGAGTCAACAGAATCTTTTCATGTGGTTATGGGCTGGAGATAGGGGGAGATATTTCTCAGACCCTGTGTGTTTACCTCCTAATCCCTGAGACGAAGTTCACAAGCATGAGGAAAGTAGTGGGAGATTTAGCGACCTCCCAAACCTGCTCGGTTTGCATCTCCTCCAGTTCACACAGCCACACGGGGCTCGGCTACTTCCTGGGAATGTTTATGAAGGTATTGTTTTGTGTGATTGTGAGAATATAATTGGTGTGAAATTGCTGGTTGTCTTCCTTCATAGAACAATCTTTAAAAATCTATACATAAAACAATAAGAATTAAATAATTGAAGTTGAGTTGAAACTCAGTGTATCAATGTATTCGCAAGATAGTTTCAGTTAAAAATCCTCGTAGTTGTGCTTTTGTTTGGATTCAATTCTTAATATAAATAAGAATATAAATAATAATACAGATTTTTAAATGTCTTTCTCAGTATCAGACAGAAATGGTATTACTTCTACTATTAGTACTACAGTACAACCAGCAGAACGCTCTGAGAGCACATACCTCCACCAAGGCTAACGCCCTATCTGGCCATGTTCAAGATAGTGAAATGAATTCCTGCATCCACCCGTTTTTCAGATCTCCCCCAAGATTTCATGGGATCTCCCTTGAGCCGGTCTCCACCCCTCCACTAAATGTCATGGAAATTGATTTAGCAGTTTTTGAGTAACGCTGCTGACAGACAAACAAACAGAGAGAAATGAAAACATAACCTTTTTTGGTGGAGTTAATAATTACAAACAGAAATCATAACCCTAGTGTTGCTATGTAGTCTACAGTTCAGTGTCTGACGCCACAAGAACATGAACAGTTAACGTCTTTCTTAAGAAGATTGTGGAATATATCAGATTATTCACAAACATTTCAGTCGTGCTTGATGCACAGTTTCCTCCATTGTTGGTTCAAATGTGTTTTCAAGGTTTGGCAGGTCAAGAAAAATGGAACTGAGTGTGCGGTGAGTCATCGTTGTTATACCGATGCCACAGTGAAGCACATCATTCTGTTTTCCTCCTTCTCCTCCCGACAACTCACTG